CCCATCGCATGCCTACCAAGTGTGAGAAGGCTGCCCTCACCTGCATGGCTCACACGGTGCTGGCCCCATCCCACTTACTGTGTTCCTTCTTCTGAATGGAACTCCCAAGTGTGTGTGTCTGAGCTGTTGGGTACCTGTAGAGAAGCGGAACCCGGGAGTCACAGATTCTGCCAGGGACCTGACTGTGATGCTCATGTTCTAAAGACTCACTGTCATTTAGGACGGAAAGCAGCTGAGACAATGGAAATCAGCAGCAATCCTCCAATGATAACAAAAAAAAAAAAAACCACAAACAAGCAAAAACAAAGAGAAAACAAACAAAAAAGAAACAAAACACCTTTTGCCAAGGTAGGAAATAGATAGCAGCGTGAGAGTCCGTTCTGCTCTGTTTGTTTGTGTGTTCAATTTTTTAACTTTTATTCTTTCATTCATCACATCCCTACTAAAGTTTTCCCTCCCTCCACCCCACTGGCCCCTTCCCCCACCTCCACTCTTCCCCAGAGTCAGAGACAGCCCCCACTCCCACTGAACTGAGAAGCACTGACCCTGTCTGAGACTGAGCTGTCTTCTGCATATACCTTATGGCTAGGCAGCTTGGTGTCCACTTTGCTCCTAATCTCAGTGGAATCCCTTCTATTTGACATGGTCAGACACAAAGGTGTTATTAGTTAATAGTTTTAATTTTGTACATAATTTAACAATTGTGTGTGATCTCTCTCTGCATGTTTACATACATGTATATAAATATATGTATATACAGATGTACAAATGTGTATTTTATATTATGAAAATACATATGGCACTGGAGAGATGACTGAATATTTCCCAGCGCTTGCTTATCTCCCAAAGGCCCTGAGCAACTCCAGCTCCAAAGACTCTGATGCTCTCTTCTGACCTCTGAGGGTACTTGTATATACATGGCTTATATTGCACACACAATGAATAAATAAATATAAGATAACAACTAAAAACTTTAAAGAACATACATTATATACACACTACTTATGTACATACACACATGTTACAGGCACAGGTTTACACATAATCGATGTTTGGCTGACTGTCATCTACACAGAATGTGAAGAGATTAGAAATGTTTGGCCAAGATCCAGCTCTAAATGCATGTTTATGGATTTTCTATATTTTCTTTTCACTTAACACGTATAGATTCGTATTCATCCACAGTCCTTCAGTGCCAAAAAAAAACAGAGATACATAGAGATTTCTATTCAGTGTTCTTAAAAATTGATGAGAATTGGCTTTCCAAATAGCCACAGGATAGATATCCTCATCACCATCATTGGCTCCCCACTCTGTAAAACCTGCTGACTATAACACTGGGACCTTCAGCAGTTTCAGTCAAAGTGAAACTAACCACCCAACTGATCTATATGATAATCACCTTAAAGACTAAATATTTAACTACAGAGGTGACTAGATGCATTTCCATAAGAGTTACAACCTCAGAAAAAAATAAAATTCAATTCTACATATAGAAAAGAAGGCATTTCTTGGGTAAACTCCATACAAAGGACATCATCTTGTTCCTCAAATACTTCCTTTTCCTTCCTCTAAAATTATCCTTCTGAAGAGGTAGTGAAATAAGCACCTGGCCTCTACCAAGAGACAGCTGAATGTCAGCAGCTCATAAGCCGCAGGTCCTGTTGTAGAACACAGTAAAACTTACCATTTGACTTCGGTACTTCCTTAACTCTTACCTACAAAACTCAGAATCCATTCTGGTCAATCATTGCCAATCTCTTGACTTCCTTCCTACCTAAGTTTCAATCAACCAGTTAACAAGTATTTATTCCCCTACCAAATTTGAGAAATATGCATAGCAATTGTAGTAAACTCCTTTGAAAGTTATATATTCTACGAAGAGAGCATTAGAAAGGATCATTGCATATACAAATACAAAGGCAAAACAAAGATTATTAAGAAATGGTTACTTGGAGCTGGGCACAGTGGCACATGCTTGTCATTCCAGCCCTCAGGGATCAACAGGAGAGGACAGGCAGCACCACAAGTTCTTCAAGGACATCAGGTCTACCTAGTAAGTTCCAGGTAAAGGTACTTTGCCTAGGACGCTCAAAAGATCATTTAATAATTGTTGTTTGGCTCTCAGAGATTGGAGTGAGCGTATTTCTATGGAGAACTCCAAGCTTATGTTTGTCGGCTGGAATTTTAATTCAGTGAATTTATCTTGAGTTAATCATAATGACGGTTATGAGATACAGATATGCAAAACCTAATGTTACTAGGAAGTTATACTTTAAGGAAATGCAATGTTTATTCGTGACTTCTAAATCTCAATTCCTGGGAAAAGCAACTTCTATTTTCCTCCTCCATGAAATGAAATATACCATACCACCTGGTTACAAGCCAGAATGGGGTGATGGACAGACACTTGGCAAACCCTTCGAATGGCTGAAAGCACTCCTAATACCAATCAACGGGGAGACAAGTACACTGTGTCTCCTCTGCACCCTACACAGGAGGAATCGCACACTGGGAAGCAACAGTTCCTAAAGGAAAGTGAAGGGAATGCCTCAGGAAAGCCTTACTTAGCATGCTGATCAAAAGGAGAAGGAGGTGGAGGAGGAAAGAAAGCGGCCTCATAAAAATAAAACCCATTGAAAATTATTCAAAATATAAATTAAATCACATTATCTCTCCAATCAATAAAAGAAACCAAAATTTCCAGCAAAAAAAGAGAAAATGTAAACATATCCATGGCAAGAGTCTGGGATTCCATTCTTCCATGGTCTTAAAGGAGGTAATCTTCCACTCCAGTTCCACAAAGTCAAAAGCCAGAGCTAAACAGAACCTTCATGATGATCGGAGACAAATCAGATACACCTCAAGACACCTGGTCTGTCTGAATTGCTTGTCCCCTTTAATTCTCTTATTGCCGGGGCTTATAAGCTATGGCCTTCACCCTTCACACTCAAAGTTTCCCTAACATTCCTACCCACATTTTTTTTTATTTTACCTCCATATAATTACCAAATTAAGAACCGTTCACTCAGCCTCATTTTGTATTTTAAAAAAACACATTAGTTTGAAAACTTAAGAAATTCTTTTGCCAAGTACCATATACTTACATTAAACCACTCAAAAGGAACACTGATGAAATTCAAAAGGTTTTATCCAGTTTTTGTCCTTCAGTTAGAACATTATGCTACTAAGGACAAAGCAGACTCCAGACTCAGGAGACAGCATGCAGTCTTCCAGAAGCTGAATTGTCATGAATAAGCCCAGCACTCTGAAGTGGACCATTCTACCTGGCTAGTCCAGGGAAAGTGTGAATAGATTCCTAAATGATTTAACAACTGAAGAAACTTAACTGAGATTGCAAGGCCATAAAATGAGAACAAATGAGGGTTATAAAATAGGTCTCTTTTCTTGGCCCCTGAGCATGAGCCATACTCACCACCTTTTGTGTGCACAGCAGCCGTCTGTGCTGTGTATCAGAGCTGTGCATTCTCAGACAGCTGGTATACTTGGGATACAGGAAAGTGCATGACCAACAGACCTTCAGCTAACATCCTTTGTGATTACCATACCCAGCACTGCCTCTAGCTCCACCTTGATTTTCCTCCTGCCTCGTTTCGATTTTTGGTCCAACCTGGATTCTTTCTCATCTCTGGATGCCAGCCATCCCCACCACTGCAGCAAAGGAATGCAATCACCTGACTCTCTCCCTTCCTCTTACAGAAGTTTGGATTTCCTCTCTAATTGAATATTATTATTCCTCTCAAAATAAAGTGAATTTGGTGAGTGAGCTTGGGCCATAGCTTCTCTTACAGTTTTTCTGTCTTCTATCTGGAAAAGAATATGAAAGCTTTACAAATTCCTTTATTTCCAGATTAAAATACCAAGCTGTCACATGTACCTGCTGACTACAGAGCTTTTAAAGCAATGAAAGTAAAAGGATGAATGTCTGACCTTCTTGTCAATCATCCTCCCCGCCCCCCCACACTGCCTCAGCATCACCCGTCAATCATGCTCCCCACGCCCCCCACACTGTCAGCATCACCTGTCAATCATCCCTACACACACACACACTGTCAGCATCACCCGTCAATCATCATCATCTCACACACACACACACACACACACACACACACACACACAGTCAGCATCACCTGTCAATCATCATCATCTCACACACACACACACACACAGTCAGCATCACCTGTCAATCATCACACACACACACACACACACACTGTCAGCATCACCTGTCAATCATCACACACACACACACACTGTCAGCACCACCTGTCAATCATCACACACACACACACACACTGTCAGCATCACCTGTCAATCATCACACACACACACACACACACACACTGTCAGCACCACCTGTCAATCATCACACACACACACACACTGTCAGCATCACCTGTCAATCATCACACACACACACACACTGTCAGCACCACCTGTCAATCATCACACACACACACGCACACACACACACTGTCAGCATCATTCTGGCCTTAGTGATCTCCTCTTCTTTATCTACGGGGTTGGCTGACCTGTCAGTTAGCCCAGCTCATCCCATAGTTGGCAAGTTGTGACTTCATCTTTACATGTTAGAAGTAACATTGCAGCTTGTCTACTCTGCCCACAGATTCAAATTTGTGTCACTTTCTATCAAAACCCACCTGATTCTGACACAATGGTCTATCACAACCACTCATTCTATCAACATTTTAGAGGATAATCACACCCGGTATATGGAAACTACTACTTAGGCTACTTCACACTGTCCCACGTGGAAGCAATAAAGACTATGATTACCCCTGTTTGGAAACACATTTAATTTGGAGCCTATGGGAAAATAAACATGTCATCCAGAGATGAGCTTGGAGTCAATTTTAGCATTTCAAAGCTTGACATTCTAGACCAGCAACCCTGATAAAGACAACAGACCTTGCACAGAACATAGGTAAACCCCAGAAAGCAATACTTTAAGATCTTACCAGGAAGGGGCTCCAGCAGATGCAGGAGACACACATTATGGCCAGGAGCTGAATGACCATCTCGAAGTGATGAGATCTGCCTTGCCTATGCTGTTGACTTTTAAACTTCACTCTTAGGAGTGTAACTCCGGTGATGGCGTTGCACAAGAACGACACACCAAGAGCTAAGAGGCCCAGAAAAGAGAAGAACAAGAGATAAAACCTGTCCTCCCAGTCTTCAATGTGCTCAGTGTTGTAGAAACACCAGGTTCTGGATGCTTGGATTTGATAGTCTCGGTGTCCAAGGATGGGTAACAAAGCCACGAAAACGGCAAACATGCACACGCCACCCAGTATCATTTTCACGTGTTTCGATGTGATTTTCGTAGAATGGAATATAGGATTGGTGACTCCAATACACCGTTCGATGGCCATCACACTGCCTAGGAAAAGTGGGCACAGACCGGAAAACACCATGGAGATCCCAAAAACACTGCAGAGGATGTTTGACTGATCAAAGCGGATCCAGTCCTTATCAGAAGCATATACGAAGACAGCTATCCCCCCATTGATGAGGTGGCCGAAGAAGTCTGTGATCACGAGGCCACTAGCCAGGAGCAGAAAGGAGGCCTTCGACTTCTGTCTAAATCTCTGATACGCCTTCATGAGAATGGCAATGGCCAGGCTGTTAGATAAGATTCCCACTGTCATGAAGATTATTGAAAAAAATACTGAAAGTCGGTTTTGAGTTTGGCAGGTCGTGTTGGCGATTAGTCCAGCTGCAGGAAACACTGGCTGTTTGGAACTGTTCATGGACATTGTTGTGGAGATAGAAGAAGTCCCCTCAGGTCATCTCTCTGTCACCACTGTGTAGTCTCAAAGTGCAGACATCTGTAGCATACAAGACAGAAATTTAAAAGACCAAATTGCTGGTCATCTGACGTTTAAAACCAAGAGCCCCCAGCACCCTGGGCTGGGGTGAATTTACCCAGCCTATCATAAGTCAGGTGGCAGCATTTTGAAAGCAGCATGCATCTGCTGGATTCTTTTTTCTCTTCAAGGTAAAGATGCCGCCCACATTAACAGCTGTCAGTTCACTTCCCTCTAAAGACAGAAATCTCTGAGAACCCTTCGGACATGTAACCGGCATCTTAAATCATTTGATGTCTTCCTAAAGCGTGAAGATTAGATTTTAACCCAATGAGTTTTCGAAGCATGACCATTTATTTAAATAACTAATCCTTTAAGCACTTGGCATTTTCTTTATGGGGCACTGACCTGCAAGTAGGTGAGCTTCTGGGTGAGGCACCTGCTTGCCCTGTTGCTACAGCTTATGTAAACTTCCAGGGCTTCAGCTAGCTTACTCCTGCCAAATAGGACGCTTCTAAAACCTCAATCATAAAAGGACAACACACAGAAACACACACTCATTCCGGGGTGGGGGTGGGAGAGAGAGAGAGAGAGAGAGAGAGAGAGAGAGAGAGACAGAGAGACAGAGAGAGACAGAGAGACTGACTCACACACAGGCTCGCTCACTTTGACTCCTGGAAGAAAGTGTTAAGGCTCTGCTTTTCCCTGCTCTCCTTTTGCCAGGGCAGAAATCCCTACGCAAGACTAGCAAATGGGAAAGCATCGTCCCCTCAACACTTTGGCCTGAAAGATGCTGTCGGGTTCGTCCAATCCCCAGTGACAAGTACTGTATTGTTGTTTTTCCCCCAAGGCACCCTCACTAGTTACAGGACCACAGCCACTCCTCCGCTAGCTAATTAGATAGGTTTCCCAGAGAAGCTTTCCCGGAGGCCGGGGAACCGACAGCACAGTGGCTTTATGGGCCCCAGGGAAAGGCTGGCTACCCCCTCCGTGTCTTACTCACAGGCTGACTTTCGCCAGTTGCAAACCCCGCACCCCATGGGACCTCAGCTTGCAACATCGTCTCAAACCCTAGCCAGCTTGCTGAAACTTTTTGCAATTCCTCAAACTCCCGAGAGTTCTTTTCCCTCCCACCCTGGAGGGCGCCAGAGGTCTGTGGCAGACTCGGTAAGTACCATGAAGGGCGGTCAGCCGGGAATCTCAAGGAGAGTAGCCTGCCCGGTTTGCCTGCTTCTCTAATGGAGGGATCCTTGCTACCGAGCCCCATCCATACAGCCCAACCCAAACACCATTCTCTCTACACTCTCTACACAGTGCACTACGAATTGGGTCCAAAATCACTGCCATTAAGACTCTCTCCACCAGGACCCCTACCGCTGTCTCCATAGGAGTTTATCAACTCTGGATTCGGCTGGGGAATCCAGGGACCGTGGGAATCCGGCCGTGGGAATGCAGCCACCTGGGTTGCTGGTTACCTTGGCATCGTGGGCCACCGAGTGGCTGTGTCCGGAGTAGAAGAGCTCTGCCCCCCGCTTGCCATGGCGCACCCAGCCTCGCGCAGCTGCAACCTCAGGCTCCGCTGCTCAGGACTTCCTATGTTCTCTCTGCGCCTCAGGACCTGCTTGCCCAAATGTGCCCTGAACTCCAAGGCACCTAGCGATGCTCGCTCGCAGCCTCCGCGGTGTGGAGGACTCAATGACCTCCGCCCCTTCCTTGTCTCTCTCTCCTCTCCGCCCCCTTTTCCTTTCCGCACAGAGTGAGGCTAAGGCATGATCCTCTGATGCTTTGGCCACCCAGCAGCAGCAGACAATACTTCCAGCCACCGGACAGCTACGGAAAGTTTTGCTTTAAACTCATTTCCAAATAAAAAGGGCCATTTCTGAGTCTGCAAGACAGGAATGAGAAGGGCCAAGGCATGTCTCGACCCTGATGTGTTCGGTTGTGGAATGCAGCTTACAGAATAAACTCGTTCCAAGCCCAAACAGAAAGGGGTAAGGGAAGAAACGGCTGCCTGTTTGAAAGAGAACTTCGTGGCAGATAGCTGCTGTAAGCAGAACAAATTTGGGCTCCACTGTCACCGGAGCCTAAGTCCCTCTGGGTAAGGGAATGTGGAGATGGTGTGACCACCTGCTGGCCTTTTGGTAGCATCAAAGACCTTGAGAGAATATCAGGTGACATCCACAGCAAAGGATGTGCGCCTAATAGGTTTTGTAAAAATTCGTTAATGATCAAATCAAGACATGCTTCTTTTTCATGAAGAATTGTTACTTGAACCCAGTTATATCATAAATGTGTAATGTTGAATGAACTTGTACAGTGTGAGTCTTTTTTTTTTACCACTACAATTGCTTTCAGCAGATAACGGATCACCCCACACCTGTTAACATCTCGTTTCCCATCCCAACACTTACACGATTCTATTACTGCTCTTAATTTCTCTTCTGAATTCAGTAAAATGTTGTCACTGGCTGGGGGGGGGGGGGGAACAGTGCCACATCGAGATAAATCTGTTTCTCCATTCCAGAACCACGAGGCGCTTCTGAATTCCTGAAACTTGAAAGGGATCATAAAGCGCAAACGTGAGATAAAATAAATTAGCCATTAACTGTGGGAAAGAACAATTGCACAGTCCCCTCACCCATGGTGGAGATAGAGAACTTTTTAATTGATATTGTCATAGCATGTTTTAAACTGTTCCTGGGGTATGGTCAGAGAGTTGAATATTTTAATTGGTAGAAAATGTGACACTGAGCGCCACTCTTTCCCTTAGTGACTAACAGTCCTTAGCCACGGTGCAGCCTGCGGTTGGTTTCCCTTGTGCCTCCGTCACCAAAATGAACCTCTACAGAGGTCTTGGCCATCCTCCCTGTCCTCACCTGGGACACCAAATGGCCTCCCGCCAAACCACTGAGTTATAAATGCTCTAGTCAGCGTTTCCATTTGGGAGCTCTGCAGCTTGAAGAGTGGGGAATCTCACACCAGCTGCCCTGGCGCTGGGCACGGAAGGAAGAAACATGCTTGCTCATTCAGTGTCAAACTGAAGCTCTTAATCCAATCAAAGCAATGGTGATTCCTTTTCCAAGTACTACATAAATTGTACCCTTTTTTTTCAATCCGCTCTCCATCTGTAACTGGAATTCTTTCTTTAGTACCACGTTCCTTCCCCAAGACATAGCTCACCTGGGTGCTCACTAAAAGTCCTAAATGTCAACATGTCTTCTTGAGACCAATAGACATATTAATATTATCAGGGCAAGCAGTTGTGGAAAAGTCAACAATGAACAACTTTCAATGATACACCCCAAGCCCATGTGCAACCCAAATCTGATCCCCTACTTATATTCCCCAAAGATAGCTCCTGAAAACCGGAAGATCCACAGAAAGGAAAACTTTCCGACCAGAGAGTAGAGGGTAAGAGGCTGGTAAACCCTTTTAAAATGTAGTCTAATATGTATATATTCCATACTTTCTTCATCCATTCTTCTATTGAAGGGCATCTAGGTTGTTTCCAGGTTCTGGCTATTACAAACAATGCTGCCATGAACATAGTTGAGCATACACTTTTGTTGTATGATAGGACCTCTCTTGGGTATATTCCCAAGAGTGGTATTGCTGGGTCCAGGGGTAGGTTGATCCCGAATTTCCTGAGAAACCGCCACACTGCTTTCCAGAGTGGTTGTACAAGTTTGCATTCCCACTAGCAATGGATGAGTGTACCCCTTTCTCCACAACCTCTCCAGCAAAGGCTATCATTGGTGTTTTTTATTTTAGCCATTCTGACAGGTGTAAGATGGTATCTTAAAGTTGTCTTGATTTGCATTTCCCTGATTGCTAAGGAAGTTGAGCATGACCTTAAGTGTCTTTGGCCATCTGAACTTCTTCTGTTGAGAATTCTCTGTTCAGCTCAATGCCCCATTTTATAATTGGGTTGATTAGCCTTTTATGGTCTAGTTTCTTGAGTTCTTTATATATTTTGGAGACTTCTTGAATTTTGCATGCAAATGGATGGAAATAGAAAACACTATCCTGAGTGAGGTAAGCCAGACCCAAAAAGAGGAACATGGGATGTACTCACTCATATTTGGTTTCTAGCCATAAACAAAGGACATTGAGCTTATAATTCGTGATCCTAGAGAAGCTAAATAAGGAGAACCCAAAGAAAAACATATAGGCATCCTCCTGAATATTAACCTTCATCAGGCGATGAAAGGAAACAGAGACAGAGACCCACATTGGAGCACCGGACAGAAATCTCAAGGTCCAAAGCAGGAGCAGAAGGAGAGAGAGCACGAGCATGGAACTCAGGACCGCGAGGGGTGCACCCACACACCGAGACAATGGGGATGTTCTATCGGGAACTCACCAAGGCCGGTTGGCCTGGGTCTGAAAAAGCCTGGGATAAAACTGGACTCGCTGAACATAGCGGACAATGAGGACTACTGAGAACTCAAGAACAATGGCAATGGGTTTTTGATCCTACTGCATGTACTGGCTTTGTGGGAGCCTAGGCAGTTTGGATGCTCACCTTACTAGACCTGGTTGGAGGTGGGTGGTCCTTGGACTTCCCACAGGGCAGGGAACCCTGATCGCTCTTTGGGCTGATGAGGGAGGGAGACTTGATTGGGGGAGGGGGAGGGAAATGGGAGGCAGTGGCGGGGAAGAGACAGAAATCTTTAATAAATAAATAAATTTAAAAAAAATAAAAATAAATAAAATGTAGTCTAATCTTATTGTTGCCTGTGAGAAGATGACACTCCTATAAAGGTATTTATCGGCACATATAATAACAGATTCAGTGAGAATTAGCCCTCTGCCCGTACTGTTTCTAGGAGACAAACATAACTCCATGTGAGGAAGCACAGAGCCCCGCACTGCATGGTTACAGCTAGGATGCAAACATGCTCCCACAGCAAGCATATGATGGGGTTTAGAATACCAGCATCCTCTCTATCCTGAATGGAGAAGACAACGTTGATATCTCCACTCAGAAGACAAGGACGTAA